TTCTTTATTAATTTTAACCTCTGTATTTTGGACCCTTGTATATTTCAAAGTTTTTTTTCTGGGTCCCATCAAGTGTGAGATAGTGAGGTTTGACTGTATCGTTTGGTGACATCTGTTAACAGAGTATTATTCGAGATGTAATTTATTCAGGAAATCCCTGATTTGATTTTAAAATATTTTTTTCATTATAAGAATGCCACATAGTGTGTGACAGGCTTACAGTAACAAATATTGGCAAACTTGAGTCTGTCACAAACTTCATAATGTTTCTCACTGTGGTTTATGGTATGTTACAGACATGTGAAGTCAGGCTTGAAAATAACTGCATTGATCCTTCTTCATTGTTGTGTAGGTGCTGATAGATTCAGTAAAGATGTGAAGATGATGCTAGGAATGGAGGTGAATGTGGTTATACGTGTCTGTTGGTGTATCATCACACCTCTTGTTATGTTGGTAAGGGCAGTTTGAAATCAGAACTGACATTCAGTTTATTGTTAATCAAACTTTTTCTCTCTCAAGTGTTTCCCCAGGTTTACAGTATTTTTGCCTAATAGTAAAGAAAAATGGAAATTGTTTGGTAAACTTAGAATGCTTTGATAAAGAAAAGACATAGATACATGTACAGTTTAATGAACTATAGTGAAGGGCAAGGAACAAACAATTCTGATTCATTATATATGTAATTCATTATATCCATTAACTTTGTAATGCAATAAAGAAATACAAGGAATGCCAATCACTTTGCTGTAAGCATGAATTCAATATAAGCATGTTTGTTTGCTATAACCATATTTTAAGTGTACTTGCACATAAGGACCATATTTCTCTGTTTTTAGGCAGCTTTCATTATAACCCTGACAAACTACCAGCCCCCTACCTATGAGGGATATGAATACCCTATACACGCCCGTGTTATAGGCTTCCTTCTCTCTCTCATTCCACTGGTTCCATTACCAGTAACAGCCATTTATTACTTCTCCAAGACAAATGGAACTTGTTTACAGGTAGGTCTGGTGTTTGGACCAATCATTTTATACCATGTTTGAAGCTTCTGTAAATGTTTCTTTCTTCTGGAGATATTTCCTCTTCAGATCCAAGAAACATTTATATAAGTATGGAGTTATTTTATGTCATCTGAGTCCCTTTCAGAATCTTGTTCTATACTACTTTTTATGATTAAACTGAGCAATGAGCCCTCTTCCAAAGGTAGTGTAAATTCTAAATTGTTCAAATCATGGCCCTCGGAGGTTAGGATGGGGCCACAATAGGGGAAGAAAGTTTTACATTGAAAGATATAAGAAAAATCTTTTTAAAAAATCACTGGGCCAGAAAAGATGAAACTTATGTGAAGGCTTCCTGAGGTAGGGAAGATTCTAAAATGTTCAATTCATGGCCCTTGGGGTTAGGGTGGGGCCACACTAGGGGGTCAAAGTTTCACTTGGAACTAAAAGAATTTTTTTTTGTTTTAAATCTAAAGAAACACAATAGAAATTAATTTGCAGACACTCTCATGTTATGTGAATTTAATGGTTTTTAAATACAGACTCTGAGTTAGAGTTGTCTAAAATCAGGATCAAATTTTCCATAACGCATGCATACCAGAAAAGAATTTTCTTCTCCATAACTGCAAAGCCATATTAGTCCTATTGATATTGAAGCATCCCCATTGTATGTGGATTCGGAGACCTCTTAGAGTTAGAATGGAGCCGTAATATACATGTATGGTCATATTTTTCAAGGGAATATAAAAATCTTTTAAAAATCTGATGAAGAACAGTAGGGCCAACGTAACTCAGGTGAGTGTTGTGGCCCATTGGCCTCTTGTTTTTATAAATTGTAATACAGGAAGTTTATAGGTGACTTTGCAGGGGGATTACGTGTAGAAAGTACAGCAAGAAAAGTTGCTTTGTGATGTAACATGTTACCATCCAGGGCCATTTCCCTCTGGTTTGAAACTTGATGAATTACTTTGACTTATTCTTGTTTAATTTCAGAGATTAAGAAAACTCACCCAACCATCAGCTGATTGGGGTCCTCATTTAAATAAATACAAGAGAGAGTACCAGGAAAACCTACAGAACACTCCTGATGAGGCACCTCTCCTCCTCACTGCCAAAAGGAACCTCCTCGGGAATCTTGTTAGATGATCTTAGTGCTTTTTGAAGGATTTATTTTCCGGCTTTCTGTTGTGTTTCATAAATTACTTGTCAATGAATTGTTATAATGGAGTCCTATATACATAGATTTAATCAGAAAATTTTCTGTCAAAACTGAAAGCTTCTGCAAAAGTGTTGTGTATTTTGGCTTTTGTTGTGAAACTATTGTCATCATATTCACCAGCAAAGTCACCTGGTTTCTTAACCATTTCAGATGGAGAAAATGTTCAAAGATAAGTTAACTTAAATATATTGAATGAAAACTAAGAAGTTTACAGTTGTAAATGTTCTGTTTTGTTGAATATGATTTATAACTGGAAACTGAATTCCATGTAACTATATAAATTTAATAAATCTACAGATCCAAATGTTTTATGAATTACACTCTTAGATAACTCTCTGAAGATGTTTAAAGTTCAGGTAGGGTGAAAATTCTAATGCTTAACTGTATTTTGATTACTTAGAAATGTTGAATTACAAGAAGTTTTGAATACTGTACAGCACATAAAAATTATGTTGGAAAAAATCACAATTTGCTCACTTTGTAGCAAATTGCTGTAGTCTGAATCTCAAGAGGGTTTTCTTTTAACACCTGAAATGTGAAATTCAATGTAACCACACCAACAATAAACTTTGTATCAGACATGTATTAAGATTGTGAGCTTTCAACTCCGGATTTCTACAATTTTTGATATTTGAAGGAAGGTGGTAACTAATCAACTATATTACAATGTAATTATATTTTAACAGACAGGGCTTTCGTATCCATATACAGACAACAGTATATTTTCTTCAGTTTATCCTTATCATTATGCTTAAGAATTTTTCACTGCATGTTGAATTTGTGAAATTTTTATTTTCATGAATATAGCAAATATTAACTTGCAGAGTTAAATTATTGCTATAGTCACAAAAATTAATTCTACAAGTTAATTTCCTGCTGTACAGTACATACATGTGTGTTATTGTTTTTTTTTCTCAAATGTTGTGCAAAAGCTGTGCATGGAAACATCTCTTTTGAGGCTTATTGTGTTGTTGCAGCTAGTCATCCATGCATGTGCAATCAGTACACTTGAGAATCTTGCTAGAAGCATAATTATAATATTTGCATAATTATATTTGTATACTTATGTAATGATTACTTATATTTGTATCGAAGTATTATTTTTTTTTAATTTGTTGACAGTCAAAATCCTTTTACTTCAGATGTTCAGTGAAAGAAAATATGAATTGCTTTTTACGTTGTTTATTTTAAGAATTTGGTGCAGATTTCGTTATAGAAGATAGTTTATATTAATTTATTTTTGATAGCGATATAAGACATATTTTTAGTCTTGATTTGAAGAAATAAGTTTTAAAGGCAGTTGTCAGGTGTTTTTTTAAACATTCTTTGTAAAATGTGAACACATTTCCAAAAATGAAGCATTTATTTTTTAAAACGTGCTTGTAAATGAATTGAAGGAGTTGACATTGTAGGTCCTGTGCCTCAGTTCTGTGTTCATTGTTCATAAAACCCAGTACATGTATTGATCTTCAAAGCATGATTGTAAAAATAAAAACTGATGTCTGTTATTCAAGTGATTGTCCATTTCATATGTCTCTATTTACATTGTGCTATTTTATTTTTCAAATTTGCGTCCATTGTATACAATCTTATTTTATTAGTGTGCAGTATGTTTTGAAAACAGCAACTTTGTTTCAAAATACACAAGTTTTGTCAATACATACCAGTATTCAAATATACATGAATTTTAAAGAAATCCAAAGAAATGTTTGAAAAAAATTTTGTCAGCAATCTTCATTTCATCACTATCTCGAAAGTTTGTTTGTTTGTTTGTTTTTTGTTTTTTTTGGAAAACCTGGATCAAATTTTTCTAAGTATTTGAGCTTATAGATCAATATTTATAAGTAATCTAATCATAGATTCATTAATTTGCAATTTATAACATGGAAATTTTGTTTATTTTCTCAATTTTGATAGAAAATCTATGACTTTTTCATTATTATATCTCTTTATCATTCATTTATTGTTTTAATAACTTCAATAAAAAGAATGAACAGTTTCATACTGCCTCCAAAGCAGTAAGACAGTCAAAACTGTAGTGGAATTACCACTTAGAGATTGACATCTTATGAAACAAACAGATGTACAGTGTATGGGTTCAATGAAATTTTCATTTAAAGTATGAAATTTGAAAACAATGTTCAACTGTAGATAAATTTACTATGATATTTGTACTTGTATTTAGGCCTATAGAGTATTTAATAGGATAAGCCAACTGACTGTATACATGCAGGGACCTGTATACAACTGTTAGTATATAGGTCCCTGATGCATGAATTTATTTTTAAACAATTTTGCCATTTCTTTCTTTAATAGGAATTTGCCAGTGACAGTGAATGAAGTTTTATAATTGTCAATAATTTATGTATAATCATCAGGAAGAAGTTACAAATATTTTGATACATTTTTTTAAATTATTGTTTGCACAAAATGTATAGTTGACATATTAAAATTTAATTTTTACTGCATTCTAGTTGCCAAACAATCTTTGTATTTGTGAATATATTACCATCTCATTAGATGAAATATGCATTGACCTTTAAATTTTGCTGTCACAGGAGCTAAAAATTTGTGTTTAAATATGATACATTATTGTAATAAATGCATTTGGTAGAAAATGTCAGGTAGTGGGAATTGTGTTATTCTATGCTTTTAAAAATACATTAAGACCCTTTTTTCTGGAAAGATTGAATTTCAATACTTAGAATTGATCTACTATGACAGTTTGCATATACAATGTAAAAACACATCCGATTCGCAGAAAAAATTAAGAAGAATAATTAACTTTTACACACTGCATTAGACAGCTTTATCTGGGATATCCCTAGAAATTAATATACCTATTAATAGTACATTGCTGCAGTAATTGTTGGGCAGATGACTCATTCTCTCTTAATATCAAATGCTTAAGAAATGTCTGGTTTGGTGAACAAATGGAACATTTTACAGCTTTATAATCAGAGTCCATTACTAGATCTCTTTATGAACATTATGGACATGGTTATGTCATTTCCATTTCAGGATTTCAGTGTAGAACAATATCTTTATCAATAAATTTATGACCAGCATTATAAAGGATTTTCACTTCTTGATTATTAGCATAATGGTGAAAATGCCATAAAACAATTATCCCTAGTTTATTTTAGTTATCTGCGTATTGCTAATGACTGTATTCAAAAAGCGTTTGCTTGAATCTCGTTCTTGGGCAACATGAGGGGAATGGCATCCTAAATGAGTAGGAAAATTGTCCTTTTGATATCAAAATAGATGTTGGAGGCTGATAAGTCATGCATCATACAGGTTGTCACAGGTGCTTCCGGATTTGGGCTTTCGAGCAAATAGTCTATCCAGCAGACCCAGAGCACCCGACCTTTTGACCTTTGGTTTGGATGTGGACTCGGATATGACGTCAGAGGGTTTCATGTTTCGTTTTAGTCTGATTTGCCGCAGAATTCCGACCAACAATTCGTCGACCTGATGATTCAGGGCCACAGATGTCTCTATATATTTACAGTTATATGTGTCTGCCAATTTTTTTGCATCTGAAAAAAGAAACAAAGTATTGTTAATGCAATAACCCCGCATGATGAGAGACGACAAAAGATGAGAGCTAAGTTTGTGTGTTTGTGTTGTTCTAGTTCTTTGAAAACAATGCACACTAAAATGTCTGAATTCCTACCAACAGGTCAACCTTTTCTTGGAAACTGTGTGAAGTGATTTCCTACAATTATTTATGTCACTTAAAAATACTTCTAAACACCATTCTTAATTATTTATGTTGATTATATATGTACCTGCAGTACTAAATATATGTACACTTTTTAATACAGAAAGTAGAAAATAAATCAATTTATTATGACTGAATAATCCCTTGCCCTCTGATTGTAGAAATCATTTGAACAATAAAATGCTTTCTTTGGTTGTTAGTACGGGAATTAATGTCGCAGTTGTTGCAGAAAAAATACATAACCCGCGTAAGCGGGTTATGTGCATTTTTTCTGCAATAGCTGCGACGTTAATTCCCACACTAACAAACAAATAAAGACATTTTATTGTTATTTATATCTTTAAAAAAAACATTCAAAGTAATTTAAATATGTTAAATATTGTATTCTAGATGTGTCTGTCATTGTATGCATAACTGTTGGAACAGCCCTTGCTTAAGAAATCTATGCAAGTGGCTTGCTAAGTGTTGTTTATGAACTGATTAACAGCAATGGGTTTTATAAGAAATAAAGAAAACAATATTCAGTGGATGTAAATATACTGTTATATTTACCTGCACGAGACTGTCCAGGTCAACATAACATTTTTTTTCTACATTGGACCAAACGTCAACATTGATACGATTGGATATGAAAATTCATTTCACCTGCAACCGACTTCCAAGTGAATGTAACATTATTTGTCCTACATCGGAGCATTTTCCAAATTAATAGATTTTAATCCCGCTTCTCTCGCTGCGATCGACTAAGACTTCAGCAAATGTAAAAATGTAACCAATCAAGAAAAGATTATTTTGCTAAACGAGATTGTATTGTTTTATCATTGAATAAAATAATGAAATAATTTTGCTGGGGTTTTTTTTTTCAGTCAATACGATGATTTAGCAACCATTGAAGTACAATGCCCTTTGGGCCTTGGTGAATGTTTTACTCCTCGGGGGCACTGGACATTTTGACAGAATTTCTAAATTTTTGCGGGAAATTTAATGGATATTTTAGCGGAAGTAAAATTGGTTGCCTGTAAAAATTCTATGAACATTTTAGCGAATTTCTTTTTAAAGATATTTTTTCAAAATTCTTTTTTAAGTACATAGTTTATGGGTTACTAAAATCTTGTGCTGTTTCTTTGATTGATGGTATGAAACGTTAACCGTAATAAAAATATATTCTTCTCAAAATCCCTGTTGGTAAGCAAGTGGTAACAGACTTCGCCTGGTTAAGAGAAAACTTATAGTATGTGTATGACTCCCGCTAAAAATAGAATACCGCTAAAATGTCCTACATGTATTAATCTTCCACAAATTCACTAATTTTTCACTGAAACGTCCAATTGCAAAAATTTTTCCTGTTTTTGCGTCACCGTGTCTCTTTAAAATAAATCCTGCTTTTACTTCTCTGATGAACAAGGTGAGAAAGTTTGAAATGTGTTTGATATATTAACGATGACATGTCTTCTCACAACTCCAATAGATATACTAATTTTCCTGTTGATTGGAAACGAGAGTTTTGAGAACTGAAAGATAATTTTTTGACTTTTCGCCAGCGATCTGCTTTTCTCGTTATGATGTTGCAGAGCGTTCACCTAGTTGGTACGACAGATTAATTATTAACCACCAGAGCTTTATTCTCACTTGACAATTAGTTGCTTTCTAGACAGCAAAGAAGCCTATATCTTAGATCCTAATCAAATTCTGTTGTTCTATAAGTTCTCGTGGAGTTGACCGACTTAACAATATATGGAATATTTGTGCTACTTGAGAAGTATTATTTTTATTATCTAAGTACTTAATAGCATATGTATACTGAAAGTTTTCTCTGAAGACTAGCTAACAAGAATTTTATTAAATGTTTTTAAGGGCAATGCAAAAGAAATACAAATTTGATAAGCGGTCTCTGGATGTGCAAAAAATATTACTCATTTTGCAAATTGCAAAAGTGTGTTGTGTCATAATTCCAAAACAAAAACCCATACCAGACTCTGGCACAGCTCTCTTTCGAACCAGATCGATTTTATTTGCGACTATAATAATGGTCTTGTTGATTTTAAGTTCTTTTCGGATTTTGTTGAGGTTGTCCTTGGCAATCTGGAAGGTCGTTGGGTTATTTACAGAAAAGACGACCATGTATGCGTCTACATTCAGAGTCCTCAACAAGTCCTGAAACAAATGGATAAATGAAAGATCACAGTTCCTTTGTTGGAGAAAACAAAACTTCTGGTTCGATGGTTATTAAATAAATATATTTTTTTGCAGACACCCAGTGATATGATTGATTCAAGGAAAAAACAGTTAGCCTACAGCTAAAATCTGATATCTGTACCTAAGACAAACGAGATGAAAGATTCCAATATTATTTACGAAATAACGACACACACATTGCATCCAAAGGTTGAGCATGCCATGAATGCAACATTTGGCACCCACCATACAGCTTTCAAACAGTACGTTTTGGATTACGTGTGTTTTTTGTTTAGCTCTCGGTTTCACAATGCTGTTTGATGTCGCTATTTGCCTCTAATAAAATAAAACAAGAGGCCCATTGGTCACAACGCTCACCTGAGTTACGTTCTTCAGAAAATTCAAAAAAAAGAGACTTTTATATTCCCTTGAAAAATTGTGACTCCCTATTATGGCCCCACCCTAACTCTAAGGGGTCTCTGAATCCACACACCATAAGGATGCTTCAATATTTATGACTAACATGGCCTTGCAGTTATGGAGAAGAAAATTCTTTTCCTGTATACATGCATTAAATAAAATTTATTAGTTATTACGATTTTAGCCATCTCTAACCCGGGGTCCATAATATGAGAAAAAAATCAAATTCACTCAGCATGGGATGGGAATGTTTACAAACTAATGGTTTTATTGTGTTTCTTTAGAAGATCTTTTTTTTCAATTCTTAAATAGCCCCATGCGAAACTTTAATCCCCTATTGTAGCCCCAAACTACCCCAGAGGTCATGAGTTGAACAGTTCAGAATCCACACTACAGGCAGGAAGCCTTCACATAAGTTTCTTTTCTGATCTACATTATGTCTGGAACTTTCACAAAAAATTATATTTTTCTACTCCATTTTTTCTTGAGAAGGAGATTTTTAAAAGATTTTTCTCATATATATTTGAACCCCCTATTGTGGCCCCACCTTAACGTACCCCGGGGGTCATGATTTGAACAGTTTAGAATGTACACTTCCTCAGGAAGTTTCCATATAAGTATCACCTTTTCTGGCCCAGTGGTTCTTGAGAAGAAGATTTTTAAATATTTTTCTTATTTATTTCAATGTAAAACTTCCATCTTCTTTTGTGTCCCCATCCTTACCCAGGGTCACGATTTAAACAGTTTAGAATCTACATTCCTTTGGAAACGTCCACATAAGTTTCACCTTTTCTGGCCCAGTGGTTCTTGAGAAGAAGATTTTTAATTATCTCACCCTATTTTTGCGTTTTCTTGTTCCCCCTTGAAAGGGGACTTGACCCTTCATTTGAACAATTTAGAATCCCCTTTACCCAAGGATACTTTGGTTAAAATTGGTCCAGTGGTCCTTGAGGAGAAGTCGAAAATGTGAAAAGTTTACAGATGGATGGACGGGGGAACAGACGGACAAAGGGTGATTAGAAAAGCTCACTTGAGCTTTCAGCTCAGATGAGCTAAAAAAAAAAAAAAGGCACAAACTTAAATCATTCTTTCGTCGTGCAGTATGCTTTATAAGAAGCTTAACGTATACTAATTTACTATATGGTTCCCAGTACAGAAAGTAAAAAGCAGAAATCGAGTAAAATCCAAAAAGAAATAAATACAATAACTGTCGCTTATTTTCCTACAAAATGGAGACTGTGTTTTATCAAGATTTAATTGTGTTTTGACAGGTTTTCAATATTTCGTGACTCGAATCATTTTTGTTTCTCTTTTAATGTCATTAACGGTATATAGTCTTACTTCCTTTTCAGGTCACCAAAGTCGTTTATCATTTTGAAGTTGATAAAGGCTTGTTTTCTTTATCAGCCTTCGGTATAACCTTCCGTATCATTGAATTAATTGTAGATGGGTCTTTGAAGTAAACCGTAATTGCTCTAATTATATCTTATATAGTTTTTTCATTGACATATCTATCATAATAATTCAAGTAAATATTGTGATGAAATGCTTGTAGATTATTTATTGAAAACAACAGGAAAAAAACGATTAAAAAATACGTCAAAGCTACCCTTAAAGGAAAAAAAAGTATTTAAAAATGGATAACAAATCAATAAGTGTGTGTACCTGTCAATCAGATTATATACAGCTAGAATATTAAATGATGTTCATGACGATGTGATATTTTTTACTTTTTTTACAAACCATTTTCTGACAAACATCTTTTGCCTGGAACCGTATTGATCGACAGTTGTTGATTTTAACTATCGAAGAAAATGTAACATTGTGATGATCTTCTCTATGAAAACTAGTTCTTTTGAAATAAATAATGAGGAACATATAGTGCGTAGTATTTTCTAGTGATCTTACAAAGACACCTTAGCTGCTACTGAATTTAATTATCAATTTTTTCTAATTGATGTAACTTTAAATAAATTTGTTTTGAATTATTTAGAGTAATATTAAACTGTTTTGTAACCTCAATCCTACTGATAAATGATGCAACATTATGACCATGAAACAATCCAATGCTCAGAATAAGCAATGGCAAAAAATGTCTAACTGTGCAATATAGCCGACTACAAAGTATCGGCGGGGTGCAACTAAAATATTGAAGTGATATCAAAATGCAGCAAATAGAGTGCAATTTATATTTACAAATCGAAAGTGCACGGGTATGATTTACATTTAACATCTGTCGAGTTTTATTGCACAGGTATAGTAAACAAATTGTATAAAATTTATCAAAGTTCAAATTTACAAACTACAAATTTAACTGTACATGTATTCGTTTGGAAATTCAAATACTCTGGCTTTTCATACCAAAAAAGATTGATGAAATATGTGGAGATAACAAACAGTATTCGAGCTCAAAAGTCCATTAAACATTACAAAATAGGTGCAGAGCAAACACGGACATCCAAAACATCGAAGGTGGGATCAGGTGCCATGCAGGAGTGAGCATCCCCTGCCGACCGGTCACACCGTGTCGCTCCTTGTCATGATCGAGAAATAGCGGAAAAATCCGTCGACAATTCAGTGTGTAAATAATGGCCTAACAATTAATATGAAAAAAGTCAGTCAGCATTTGACTTAATGATAGATTGTATTTGCTGACAAGGTCATTGTATAGACCATAGAACTTACGAAATGATGACTTTAATCGAGACTGCTGATATTTTTGTTTCACCAATTTGTTTGTCAACAACTTACCTCGTTTTAGAAATTGTTCATACGTAGAGCATGCTCTGGCGTATCGAATCAACTGAGAGAAATAAACCCCATATGCAGATGATAAGGGTATATTGCTGCATAAGTAAGGGAAATTGACGATTGAAAAGTTGAAGTCATCACGTTTATCATAAAGCTTTGTTGTTTGATTATCATTAAAGTCTTTTAACCCTTGATACCGTCTTAACCCTTGATCTATCGAGATTTAGTTCATAGAAATTCCATGCAGAATTCTTGTATCTTGCATGTTTATAACCGTACTTGTGTTTTAGCGAATATGCCAACAGATCTAGGGGACGGAGTACTTGGTGCTCTAAGAATAAAAAAGAATGTAACATTTAAAGATTGTCAGACAGTTTTGAAGTTGTTACTTTAAGTATTTGTCTATCATTGAAAAATGTCCGTGTTTTTTGTACATCCTATCGAACGACAATCATATAAACAACAATATCTATCTTTTTTGCATTTACAAGAATATTTATCTTTTTTGTGAGTTTTTAGATTAAAAAGAACCTATATAGATTTGTCATAGGATTGGCGTGACGTCGCTGTCTAACTTCTCGATTTTCTTGAGTTCAGATTTGAATCTGAGAAACTCTCCAGAGGAAATTTCAGTAGAGTGTTTCGTAGATCATTTTGTTTATGACGTATGAACATTGTTTCCTTTAAACCATTCTGAAGTACATGTAATTGCATACCAACAACATTATATTATACAAGCCAAAGTCCTTGTCTCCGTGACCCCAGGCGAAAACAAATGGTGCAAATAAGGAAATAGCAAAGCGGACTTTTCACAAGATAATGCAAGGAAGGAAAAAAAATATTACAGGAACCAAAAAAAATATCACGACCTTTAAACCCCTGACCCCAAAACAATCCCAGCGGAATCTTCATCAGATGAACCCCAGGGGCAAATTTGATATCATTCCAATAAAACCCTTTTTCAAGCTGTTGAATAAACACCAAAAATACTAATAAGCAACAGTAGCTAGATTCATCCTTTCATCCCTGACCCCAAATGCAACCCAAGCCTGGTTCTGTATCTGTACGAATTATGGAGAAAATATAATCGTCATAACCAAAACCTTTATATTTTGTGCTAGTATTGCTTGCAAATTGAAATATTTTTAGCAACAGACATAGCAGAAACCTCACCTCTTGACCCCATTACCCTAATAGCAATCCCAGGCGAGTTCTTTCATCAGACCAACTCATCATGCAAATATGAACTCATAACTTGAACCCTTCTAATACATAGAAATCAAAACTGGTGAAAAAAATAATCTTTGATGTATAGCCTAAAAGTATATTGATTATATTCATGGAGAAAATTGCTAAAGTGCCACCAGCATGATTGGGTCTGACACTTGGCTTACAAATAATTTATAAAGTTTATACATTTGTATATTATATACAGAAATATTTTGAGACTGTTCACGATACCTGATTTTCAGTGACGTCATGGAATTCTAAAGTAGATTCCTCTCCATCTAAAAGAACCGAAACAGTCATTTCATCATCTTCATCGCCTAAAAAAGGGGAAAACATTTAAAATGGCAAGAAATAATCCAAACATTCAAACATTTTTTTTTGCACGGGAAATTTAATCAAAGATCCTCTGTATTTGTTCACTGTTAAAACATTGAAAAGCAGAACTTTGTGTAAAGTGTGCCTAGATTTATGAGAGTGTTTCTTTAATGTGCTAGAGATTTAAGCTTTATATATATATATATATATATATATATATATATATATATATATATATATATATATATATATATATATATATACATATATATATATATATATATATATATATATATATATATATATATATATATATAATTCGAAGTTATTTTGAATTTACAGGATGGCAGTAAATACCGGTAATATAAAATTTACAAGATGACCTAGTAAATACAAAATTTACAACATGACACAGTAAATACGGAATTTACGTGACTCAGTAAATACAAAATTTACAGCATGATATCCTCTTTTAAAACTAAAATACATTGCAAGTTTTCAAAACATACATGTATATCAAACACACATACAAACTGTCGAGGGTTTATTTCCTCAATTTAATTAGCGTGAAGTAGCGCCGCCGTCGGAATATAAAGACGAAGAAGGGGGAAGAATACCTGAGGGCAATGAAACGGCCACTTTGTGATTTGAATATGTCATATGTCCTGTGTTACTGTTCAGGAAATCAATGCACTGTGTTTTCAGTGAAAGTTCAAATATTTTGTTTCCAAGAATATATTTTTACCAAAATTACGGCCTTCCACGATAAGCAATATTAAACTTCATTTTCTTCAAATTCTAAACGAACATTTCAAGTTGCTTCAAACTGCATGGTGATTTGTTGATTTCTTTTCTTGGAATATTGATGAATGCTGATATAAACTTCAACTAATCTTGGATGCATCTCAATAAAATATCAGTCAGCAAAAGGCAGTTTTGAAATTTCTAGTCAAATTGAATTATATACAGGATTTTTGCTTACTGAAGACGTGTTCAATAAATAAATAACAATGATGACCGGGTTTTTGATGATTCCGATTACAAGCTGCAGTTTTTACTTATAATAACCATTCTCTGTGCTTTTTCTTCTGATGGAAATTATATATTCTATTTGTTCTTTGTAATTTAATAGGCTTAATGGAACACAGCAATAAGCAAATGAAGACAATTTTTACTCCTCCCAAAGTGAAAAACCCTAAGAGCATCAGAATTGAACTGGTCAGTGTTCGACTTAGTGAGATTCATCCTGAAATTAATTAAGCTGGGTATCTCAATAAGTCTTCGGCTTTGGTGACAGCTGCTGATCGACCTTCCGACCACTTTTGGATTCATTTCATAAGGACAGAATCTTTAAAGCCCTTGTTAGCTGTAAATGATGATTTTCTTCTGAATCACACAAAAAGTCGATATCGTAGCCATTAAATGATGTTGTCAGAGCTATCTACCAGACGTCATGGGGCGACTGTATCTGCACTTAACTCATTTGATTTACTTTGCTGACTTCGTGAAAGTAACATGATTCAGATTACAAAGTTGTCATTTAAAGATTACTACTGACCAATATATATATATAGGGCATACTTAAGTTTTAAAAAATATGTATATTTGCTATTCGTTTATGCAATTGGAAGTTTTTGAGATAAACGAATTGCATTTAACAACAGGTAAAAAAAATCCAAAATTAAATAATAAATATTTAATGGAAACAAACTTATAAGAATCTCAAAACAAGCACAAGAACTTTTGTAGATGGTATGCATTAGGCATTTTGGTAATCATTCGTGAAGTAAAAGGTCTTAAATCTTTTGTGTTCAAAGAAAGCCACAAAGTAACGAATTCTTAGATATTTCGACAAAAGAAGCAAGACCCAGTGTCTGTTCCAAGCATGTGTGACTTTATTTACTTTCTGTCAATAACGCTCTTTAATCCCAATCCGGAAGATGAAGTGGTGCCCTCCATAAACAACAAAATGCGAAATAGACAAACAAAGAGTTTGTGGCAAGACTCCAAAGACTTACTCTGTTATTATTCGGATCGCTCTTGCTTTATAGAAACAGAAAATTAATTTCCACGCCGGAATACCGACGGAATGGGATTTTTTCTCTTGCATATTGAATGTAACCTTTTGGCAAATTTGATCGTCGAAAAAGCAGCGAACTATTTGGCGTCTAATTTGAATTTCTAATGAATTATAGATTGTATTTATTGAAATTGGGATGGGAGTCGACCAATAACTTTCTTTTTAATGTTATCAGCCTTCTTAATGGCATGCCGTATGGATTGATATCGAGACGATAAAACAGCACGCGCATTTCTGCTTGATACATTTTCAGGAAGCAGATAACAGAATCACTGCAGAAGTCAAATTATGAAGGGAAAAACATCTCTGTCCCTTATTACTTTGCCTGGAAACCTTTGATGCATTATTATTATCAATGAAAAAGTTTCTAATCTGTATGAAACCCTGCATACTTCTGAACGAAAAATATATAGTTGCATTCTTTCCAGACAAAGCACCCCACTTAACAAAATAGAATAGGACTTCAATCTACTCGTTCTTCGTTAATCATTCTATCCATGTCTTTTATACGCTTATGAATCCCTAAATCTACTGCAAGGGCACTGACCAGAAGAAATTTTCTTTCTGCTTGCTTCAAACTCGGTGTGTACTCTACTGTAATATACGTGTATACGTATATTTTCAAATTCGTTGGCTCAAACTGATTGCATTGAAGTTTCAAGGCATTTATGAAATTTATACTTCTGGGAGTGGAGAGGACATACAAAACCAATTTATAGTTTATTTTATACCGGTATTCATATATATTGGACACATCATATTTATTTCATTATTATAGAGTTGTAAAATTATAATCTTTATAAATTTCCGTGTGGCTCTTGTATTTATAAAGGAAAAAAAATACTGTATACACAATTGTGCACTTTAAAAAAATGTTTTTAAAGCATATCCACAACAATTCATTTTCTAATCATCGAACTGCCTTTCACGGCGTTTCTCCCGGAATAATTTGTCGATTGATAAAATAAACTAAAAAAAAAAAAAGGAAGAGAAAAATAAGAGAAACGAAACGCCACGTAATCCGTAAAAAAAGTTCACACCAACCCTAAACAAGCAATTAATTCTCTCCCTTGGTAAAATATCTGACATCTTTATTGGCGATAATAAGATTACTCTTTCCTTAAGACTGACTAGAAGGGTCTTTCTCGGTACAAGAAGAATGAATTTACGTTGTCTGAGGACCTAATTTACTGTACCAAGCGGGAGTAACGTTGACACATCAGAGAAGGTCTAAATGACAAGCTTAAAATGGGATTACACAGTACAAATTGTCTTCAACGTCTTTGAAGCTGCAAAATATTCATACCTTGGGTCTAACAAAACTCTGACACTTAGATAAATTGAACACATTTCAAAGACCCTTACTAAGCTTCCAAAATTCTTCATTTCAGCAGTAGTTTCTATGAATTTGTGTAGGGAAATTTTGTTTAACAAATATAATATTTTATATCAAAACTCTTGAATTGGTTTAATAGAACAGTCTGAAAGACCATCCAAAATTCTTAAGCTAAATGATAGAACGGAGTAAATGTTCATAGACATAAAATTGTAACGACCTGTTATATGGCATAGACAATGACCATTCAACTCTCCATCTTTGAAAGGGGGAGCATATTTAGAGAAGGGATAAAATGGATGAATACATTTAAAAAAAATGAATATGCAAACTCGAAAACTATCACGTTCTTGTTAGAACCTAAAACACTACCAATTCACCCACAACGCTTCCAATACATTAATTATTACATAATAACAGAATTAAAGAAAAGAACGACTGGCTCGTTCATAACTTAAGCAAAGATTGAAAACACACACTCACACATATAATTTTGGGTCCAAAATAGGTGGCTTTAAAAATGTTGAATAAATAAGCTCATATTAATGAAACATCAAGAAATATGAAAGCCGGGCTTCTAAATTTTGCTAAGTTTCTCTCTATCTTAAACGAATATTAATTGTTCGTGAATGACAATGAATACAGTATTACATTTACTGGGGGAGTACCGGTAGTATGCATGAAGGTATAGTTGACCGTCAACATATCCTTGAACTCACTTTGAATTAGTCGATAGATATCGATCAGGCAGTATATTAAATGCTTATAAGTAATCCTTATTGGTCTTCATGTATGAACATAGTTTATTAAAAGAGCTGTATCACAAATCAATAGCAGGAAAATCCAAGAGAGAGATTGACTTCCGGTCCCACAAGGTCTGTTAGTGCGGCGGTAAAGAGGCTAGTTGTACTAGGGGTATTGATATAATCGAGTCCCTTAACAATAGATGCCGACTTGGAGCTCACCATAATTAGGAAACTAATTTTCATTTATCACTAATCCCCCGAGATCTTCTTGCATATTGACATGTTTCAAGATGTAACCCGGTCAAATACGACAAACCAGTTACAGTAGCATAAATATTATACAAGTAGCAATGAATTATTTCTCTCTAAAATCAATTTCAAACTGTTTTGAATAAAAGAGTCACTGAGAAACAAAGCTGTCATTAGTCTTAACTACATACAAAATTATATTATATTCCGTTCATGAGTTGCTACCGGTATTTGAAAAGAGTAACTGAGTTAACTTGTACAATGTACTGTCATATAGGTTCTGTAGTGTTATGATGGCGACAGATAATGTATCTTAAAACATACCGATATGACATGCACAGTGTCAAATTGTACCTGTAAATTACATTTTTAAAGGAATTCTATATTAGTAAATAAAAATAATTAATAGCCTTTCGTAGTTTTTAAAATTATTACATATATTTGGAATTTTCCTACTATGAACAGACGCCCGCGTGGCGCAGTGCTTAGAGCGTCTGCTCTAGAGTCGCGGAGTAAGGAGATGATCCTTACGTCGCGGGTTCGAATCCCACTGTGGGACGTGGAGACCGGTCCTTCGGATGAGACCGTATAAAGCTAGAGGTCCCGTGTCGCAGTAGGTGCTGGCACGAAAAAGGTCCCTCACTGCTCAATGGCCCTAAGTGCAGAGTTTAGGTCAAAATTTGCAGCTCTCCACCGGCAAGTGGTGGTGTCTCCACATGAGTGAAAAATTCTCGAGAGGGACGTTAAAAAACAAACAAAAAAACGATGAACAACTCTCTTTGCGCATCTTACAAATATTATGGCTAACACAATTTTGAAAAATAAATAAAATAATACAAACCAATTGAAATTTCAAATCCACCCATATACTCGGAAGTCTTGAACTGGTTAACAAGAGCAGTTTTTCCAACACCCACGGATCCACATAGCGCCACCCTGTACACATTCGGAATAGAAGTAGAGGTAGCCTGTTTATTAGCGTTGTCAAAGTCCACACTGTCCGATTCACTCAATACTCTTTGCCTGTGTTTTTCTCTATGTGAAATATGTTCAGAAAAACTTCCGTCAGACGCTAAACTTGAATTGCTCTGGCGAAAGGTATCGCCGCGGTTGACAATACCTTTTGACGTCATTTTAAACGACCGCACGCGACGTAATGGTTCTCCGTCGGTGCCGCCTTTCACCGAAAGCAACTCCTTGCCCCCAGTGTCGGGCATGCTATTTCGCCTCGGGACATCAATGAGTTTTTGCACCCCACGGGAACGAGGCTTATTTTTGAAAGAATTTGTCCTGGATGAGGGCGCGGATCCATGATTGTTGTATCGAAAGTGACTTGAATTTGCGAGTTCCATTGCAAGTACACCACAAGGTTAAACAAACCGCTTGATTTTATCCTCAGTGAAAATCACGTGGAATTACATTTTTTGCTCAAAATTTGCACTTTAACACGTTTGCAGCGTCCTTAAAGATTATAAATCCTAGTGGAGTTTTATCTACGGCATCATTTTCTTTTTATATACATGTATCTTCAAATATTGATCCATGTCATTCAGGCGATGGCAAGGATAAACGTTCGTTGCCAATTGCAGCAGATACAGTTTTCCACGTGACTGAAGAGAGTTCGCGCCGAAACAACAGCCGCCAGCATGCATGCACATTCTGAAGAAATAAAAAATATTAGGGAATCTTATATTTACGGGAGATGTGATTTGCCGCTATGTCAATCTCTCCGAAAAATAACTAAGCAAAACAAGACTTCGTGTTTTATATATTGGATCGATCTCATCAGCAAACAATGCCATGACAAATGTAATCGAATTATTCCTGATCAAAATAATACAGTGTTTGAAAAATTGCAAATGATGTGTAATGGACAGCTTCCCATCATATATATTTTAAGGTATTTTTGGAAATAAAATGAGAAAATTGTCATTAGTGAGATCTTCATGTAAGCGTTTTTGTGCATTATTGATGCCAAAATTAATGTGCATACACATGTAAATCTTTCTGTTTTATATACCTCGGGGAAGCAGCAGGGTTCAATCACTATTAATATGTTCTTATTCGTTTCAAGGGCCCGTGTTTTTTGCCCTGTTCACGATTGGTAATATTTAAGTGGATTTATTAGCTTGACGACTGTTCGTTATCTTCACTCAGACAATTTACATGTATAATACGAGGGTTGATCCAAAAGTAACAATTGCTATAAAATCTTTAATAATTGTAAGTCATCAACACAATTTGACATAATAAAAACCCTATCTATTTCAAGTTTTGCTCAAAATGTCATTAGATTATATAAAATACTTTTTTAAAATAGTAAGATAAACACAACGATAGGTTTTGTCTATCGCCACACGGCAAGAATGTTACTGACCTCGTTATGACGTTGCTTTCCGCAATCATTTTGAGTTTATTTTCCGTTATTTCCCGATCATGACAAGGAGCACACTGCGGGTGTGACCAGTCGGCAAGGGATGCTCACTCCTCCATGGCACCTGATCCCACCTTTGATGTTTTGGAGGCCCGTGTTTGCTCTGCTCCTATTTTGTAATGTTTAATGGACTTTTGAGCTTGAATACTGTTTGTTATCTCCATATATTTCATTCGTATATATTCTTAACCTCTCACGTGCTTCTTTTTACTATAATCTTTATATATACTACCATTTTGCAATAGAAGTCTTGTTTTGAGTTGTAGCATTAAAATTATTTGAACTTTGTCCAAATGTTATTTCTAAATGCATTCCTATTTGCGTAAATCTTATTTATCAGTGTCCAAGAAACGTCATAACAACGTCGGTACATTCTTGCTGCAGCGATAGACGAGATGCAAAGTTGTGTTTATTTTAATATTTTATAAAGAATTGTATAATTATATCTAAATGAAATTTTAGGACAAAAGCCAAAATAGATAGAGGTATTAGTATGTAAAGTTTTGTTGAAAACTTACGATTATTAAAGATTTTATAGCAGTTGTGAGATTACTTTAGGATCAATCCTCGTAATAAAACAAAACACTTTTAACGCTCAAGAAGCGCTGGTATGCATTTTTAGGACGTACAGAGTATACACAGGCCTTTACGAAGCATTTCAGTTAAGGACATACGCAACGTACCTTACCCACTGATAATTTTTCAAGATATTCTTAATGTAAGATTATAGTGCCATCAGATGTTCGTAGACAAAAAATCAGCATGCATTACCAGGGATTTTGAAAAGATATCAATTGATGAAAATTCTTGTATATTTCAAAGAAAAATATACTAAAATTACTAAACATATATTCTAGATGTTTTGTTTATCCAAACTTCTTTTAAAAGAAGTGTACAACAGCATACATAAACATTAAAATGTAGCACACAGTTCCTTTAGGTATTTGGAACTCTTCACTTCCAGGGAAAAAGGCAATAAAGTTCAAACTACGTTACGTATGTCCTTAAGGGCACTATCAACTACTATACATTCCTTAACAAAAAAGGGCATCAGACGTTATTAATATGGGGGCACAAGCATATAGTAGCTATGTTTTCTATAGTGTTCTATATATCGACAAAATTATTGCCCCCGTGCCCCCCCCCCCCCCTCGGTTCCTACGGCCATGATACATGTACATAAAACAAATCTGCAATGGTACTAATTCTTATACTTCCCTTTAACATGTTCAGGAATTAATATAGCTTTTTTTTTTACCTTTATCTTTATTTATTTGCATATTACACAAATGTGGGTCAAGCAAGTACATAAATAAAACATATATCACATACAATAAGTTACAATATACATTTTAACACAACTATCATGTCCATACATTGCTTGATAAGAACAATTTGTTCAATTCTGAAAACAGAATTTATTTGTAAATAATTTCATTTCTATTATAAAACACAAAGTGGGTTGGAAGGTGGGTATAATTATAAATGCGGCAAAGAAAAGCCTTCGTGTGAGTGAAAATCGTGCTTGAATTGAATACGTGTTCTACAGATATTCGAACTTGAAATACTGACCAATAGCTAAGGTCTTTTTTACTATTATATTATAAACAAACACACGTATTCCTAGTACATACAATAAAAATATTAGTACAATGTCGATAGTGTGTCATGTAAATGATGGGTGGTAAGGGCATAAATGTCTCAATACTTTGAGCCAAGCACATGTCAAACGAAAGGAGTCGTATACTTAGGAAAACAGTAGGCAAAGTTCCACTGACATTAAAACCATGAGAGAAAATAATAAAGTTCCGTTTTATTCCTCGTTTGCCGCTAGGGATAAATGTAACTGCCAACTTGAAGAAGTTCCTTCAATTAAGCAACCCACAGAGACAAAGCTATGAAACTCAAAATTGTTGCAAAACCAAAGCATGATGCATCTATGCGTTTTGGATGATGAAATGTACAAGATTGTCAAAGGAAAACAATACTGAATATCCTAAAGAAACACGTGCCACTTGCACCGAACACGCATGGGACAGTGTTAAGCCCCCTATCGCATACGTCATACAAAGGGTTCCAGTTTGAAATCTCAGGGCAATCGTAGGTAACTGTCATTATTTTTTTTTTCATTATTGTAGTTTTGAAAATTTTCCAACATTTGTTTTTCCTCAAGCTAGCTGTTTTTGTGAAGATTCAACCTCACCCGTGGTATGCGGGTGTTAGGGGAGGGGAGTCACCAGACCCCCTTTTTTAAGAATTGGAGAATAGTCGTTTGCTGTAGTTTTAATACAAAATTTTTCATTGAAAAGCTGCTTTCTCCCTCTTTTCCGCTTTTTGTTTGTTGCTACAAGTTCAACCTACCTACCTACTTATCCTCTTTGCTCCCAGTGGAACATAAGGTCAACACAAGACTGCGCCACTCAGGTCTCTTCTTGGCCATGGTCTCTGCCTCTCCACAAGTCAGATGACGGTCTTTCAGTTCGCCCTCGACTCTCTTGCCATAAGCTCGAAGTCTGGCAGATTCTTGCATTAAAAAAATTACCGAAAAGTTAGAGAAAAATTATCCCACTCGAAATAGGATTTTGGAGTTTGGGCAGTTTGCTCCTTGTCATGATCGGGAAATAACAGAAAAATCCAACAAAAAAAAAAACAACAAAAAAACAAAAAAAAAAAAAAAAAAACAAACAAACAAAACAAACTATTCAGTGTGTAAATAATGGCCTAACAATTAGTATGAAAAATGTCAGTCAGCATTTGACTAAATGATAGATTTTTTTGTTGACAAGGTCATAGAACTAATGAAATGAACACTTTAAACGAGACTGTTGATATTCTTGTCTCATCAACTTGTTTGTCAATAAATTACCTCGTTTTAGAAATAGTTCATATGTATAGCATGCTCTAATCAACTGAAAGATATAAACCCCGTTTGCAGGTGATAAGGGTATATTGCTACATAAGTAAGGGAGGCTGACGATTGAAAAGTTAAAGTCATCATTTATCATGAAGCTTTGTTATTAGGTTACAATTAACGTCTTTTTCTAGTTAAATATCCAAGTATGAAACAGATGTGTCAAAATTTGTGGTATCTTTAATTTTAAGGTCATTGGGATATGTCAACATATGAATGGATTGATTAATTGTGTGTTATTTTACGTCCCGTTCGAGAATCTTTCATTCATATAGAGACGTCACCATATACCGGTGAAGGGCTTCAAATTAGACCTTTACTCGGCATCAGAGCCATTGAGCAGTGAGGGCTCTTTATCGTGCCAACGCCTACAGTGACACGGGTCCTCGGTTTTTAAGGTCTAATCCGAAGGACCCGCAACTTTCACTCCAATGTACCGAGCGCTTTGCGAAGGAACAGTTGCTACCTATTTTTTATCGACATAGGTCAGTCGCGGTCGTGATTCGAACACATGACCTTCCGATCACGGAGCGAGCGCTCTACCGACTGAGCTACGTGACATATGAATGGATCGTTAATTGATAATATGTCGTCGATATATCTAAATGTCGAGTTGAAGGCCACAACAAGTGTTTTCTTCTTCTCATGAATAAGATTTTGAATAAATTCTGCTTCATGTGAATACAAAAATAAGTCTGCTAATAACGGGGCGCAATTGGTACCCATGGAAATTCTGACAGATTGTTGGAAGACCTGGTCTCCAAAAACCACATAGATATTGTCAATCAGAAACTCAAGCATCTTTTTAATATCAGCTTCAGAGTACTTGTGTTTACAATCAGAATGTTTTTAACAAAATAATTTTACCAGTGACCAATGGCAAGGTAATTAAATTTACGAGTTCCGTTTTTATTGAAAAGCAGCTGTCTTTGATGTCAAAAAGCCTGGACTTTAATTTGTCTTGGGGAATGGTTGTATATAGAGTTGAAAAGTTGTACGTTTAGATGTTACTGATTTTAATAAAATTTTGTGATTTCAAATTTTCCAAAAGTTCCTTCGAATTTTTAAGTACCCATATCTTATTTACACCACTTTTCGAATATATTGTTGCACAATACTCCTGAAGTTTCTTCTTCACTTCACTGCTTAATATTTTGGGAGTGAAGAAAGAGGCTTAAAGGGACTTTACTGGAACCCGCTAATTGATAAATATCGTTAAATAAAATGACATTAAGAAAATGATATAAAACTGGAAAATTTAAACAAAAGTTAGAATTAGAATAAAAAATAAAACTATAATTTTGGAATAAA